CACTGGAAGTAAAAATAGCCATCAGGACTCATGGTCATTGCTAGTTTTCTCCTCCATGAATTTGTCCAAGCCTCTTTTAAAGTCATCGAAGGTGGTAGTTAACTTAGATGCAATATATGTTGAGGGCCTCTCATTGAAACGGCTTTAAAAAGGGCTCGATAAATTCATGGAGGATGAGGCTGCCATCCTATACCCAGTGAATATACACAGGAACCCAGGTGCCAAATCAGACCATTGGTTCTCCTGATTCAGTATTATATACACTGCCTAGCAGTGGCTTTCCAGGATTTCAGACAAGGGGCATTCCTAGCCCTACCTGGAAATGCCAGGGATTGAACCAGGGACCTTCTGCATGCAAGGCAGATAGTATAGGATTGTACTCCTGACGCTTCAGTGGCTACTAACCATGATAGCTAAGTGTGGACTATACAGGAAAGTAAGACCCCCCCCCAAGGAACTATATCTCGCACATCATAACCTGCCATATCACAGAACAGGGAAAACCTAGCAAGCTTTGCCATTGATTTAGACATGAATACAAGCCATGCTATATTTTTGAGCCATGTAAAATGAAGCTTTGAACCGCACTGCTTTTGATAATGGAAACTTCACTTCTAGGCTGCAAATTAAAGCTGAAAAGCAGCTCGCAGTTAAAATTCACATCAAGTAGTAGAGAGCATCATTAGAAGGTCATAGGCAAGAGCTTGTGACTCCATGAATAGCAATTAATTCCAATCAATACAGAAATTAGAGAGAAAGATTAGAAAGTGGTGAAATTTACACAGTGAGAGCTAATTTATATTTTTAACAAATTGTATCCTGCTGCACAATCAGTAAGGTCAGAATTAAGATTCAAGACCCAGTTCCTCATTGTCTTTTCTTGTTAAGTGTCAGTGCGTGGGCAACCTTGGACAAGGAGCGCAAGCACAAGTGAAAATATAAATAAAAACAAAAGGCTCCCATTAGCAGAGGCTCCCGTTAGTCCCTCTGTAGTTAAATGTGAGCAGTTTAGTAATCAGCCAGATGCATCCAGGAAACCCACAAGCCAGGCATGAAGGCTATAGCTGTCTCCTGCTGTTGCTCCCCAGGAGCTAGGATTCTGTTGCGGAATTTTTCTGCATAGTTAATTTATTCAAGTCACTGCCAAAGGATGTTTAGATGGCTTTAAAAGGGGATAGACAAATTCATGGAGGACAAGGCAGGATATAAAGATATTTTAACCCTGATGGCTACGTTGTACCCTCCACTGTCAGAGACAGTACAGCTACTGGGTATTTTGACTGTGCAGAGGATTTGCTAAAGTTCCCTTTTAATACATTCAGGAATCTCAAATAAAGAGCAAGTCCTAAAGGTCAAAAGATGGAAAACTTGATTGAGACCATTGGGAGCAGGCAGGGAAAGTGGGGGTTCTATTAACCCCCACCCCAATTAATGGCTTCATATTCTCTCGTATTAGTCTCTCGCTTTTGTCAAGGATGCCCATGGGCATAGAGAGTTTAAGGTCAATTGTGTGAAAGGGTATAAGAAAGCTATGGGAAGGGGGGGGGAGGGAGGGGAAAGGCTCCAAGAGCATTGTCTCCCCAAACCTCATAAAAGGAAAGCAGCAATATGGCCTCTCTGAACTTTCTGGATTGCATGCTCAGAATAAGAAGCTGAAGGGGCTGTTTCTTTCCATCTACTGTGTGTGTTCTGCAAGGTGCCTTCCTTTCTAAGAGTAATGAAAACTTAAATTTGCAGAAATGTTCGTTGGTGGCCTTTGTCTGTGAAAATGTCAGGGGCCTAGAGACATAAGGTTTTGCACTTCACACCACCCAGATTTCCAGAAAAGAAACCAGGAATATAATTTGATCAGAGACCAAAGCATAGAGGGACTAATTGGGGAAGAGAAATTGAATGCACATCGCTTCCTGTGTATGTATTAAGGGACAGTGTGCTCTCTGTATTGGACCACAACACAAACAGATGCTCCGCATTGCAGTCTGTCTCAGTGCTCCTTTACTTTTGCTGGCTGGCAAGGGTGCCTCTGGCAGATCTAGTTTGCCAGCAAGTGGAGGAAAAGCCACAAGAAAAACAATCATCACAGAGTAAGTGTATGAGTTGATATTGCTATTGCTTTGTCTTTGATGGTACCACACCAAAACAATTCAGAGGATGACTTCCGGGTTGACGCGATCGGCTAATGGCGGATTCCCTCCGAGCTCCGGAGGGAATCGGCTCTGCTGAAGACGGGTCTTGCCGTGCCGGCGACACGGGGACCCTCAGAAACCACAGGCGCGGATGCCTGTGGACTTGGTGACTCAGTGGGCACCTTAAGCGCCCTCTCTGACCCACGAAGAGCCTTTTTAAAGGCTACGGAGAGGGTACGGAGAGTGGCGTGGTGCTGGGAGTAGACCGCTACTTCAGTGGAGCGAAGCCGCGAGCCATGGCCGGAGAGCGTTAACTTTCTTCCCGAAATTTGGACTGGAAACAAAAACCTGTGAGTACAGGGAATTCGGATTTTAAAAATTCCTACCTTTAATTTGGTACGACCGGGGGGATGTGCTAAAGGGAAGTCCGCACCCCCCTATCTACAAACGATCTAAAGCAAGGATCGGAGAACTAAGGTTGAGAGAACAGTGTGCTTTTGATGTTTGATAAAAGTTATTCCAAGAATTTGATAGAAGAAGTTTTTTGTGCTGGAGAGAAGAGAGGAGCGTTAGAAAAATTTGTAACCCCCCCCAAACCCGGGAGCGTCCTGCGTGTGAGTCCTACGAAAAAGAATAAGGAGTTTGACAGCTGTCAAAGGAGCTGTCAAACGGGTGGACAAAACTAAGAATTGAATTACTTAATATCTCTCTGGACTAAAGGTGTTACATTTTACTAGAAGTGGTTGGAAACAAAGTAATAATAATAATAAAAAAACAAAGTAACAGATTGTTGGAAAGGAAAGTAACTTAACTGGAATCCCCCTAGGGGGGATTTAGTGACATTGCAATGGCTGCAGAGGGAAAATTACTGGCAGAAATTGAAAGAGCCTTTTTTCTCGTGGGAATTTTGCAAGAACAGAGTATGACTATGAACAAAGAACTCACGACCTTGATCTCTAAAACAAACAACCCTACTGATGGAACAAAGGACTTGACTGGGGGAAAATCTGCAGCTGAATCAGAAGTGACATCTGTGGAATTGATGGAAAAGGAGGAAGGAGGGGAGAAGGTACTGGCAGAAAATGCCAAGCAGAAGTCTATGTTGTCAGAAAATGAAGCAGAAGATTTTTGGATTACAAATCTGGGAAAGGTGAGAAGGATGAGAAAAGCAAAGGAGGAAGTCTTTGGACTTTTTGGAATAATGGATTTTAAAAGAGCAAAGAAATATGATTGGGACTTCCTCTTCTTTTCCGAGTTTGAGTACGGGAGACCTATGGCAGATCTCTGGCAGCAAGTTCTTTTAACTACTTTGGACGCAAGAGAAGGAGATGTGGTTGTGACAGATCACCCTCGAAACCTGAGGTCCAACAAAAAGGACTACCAACAAAACCGACAGAGAGAGACGGACAGAGATTTAAAGGCCTCGGACGTGAGGAATCCGGGCTAGGAACTGTATGGGTGGATAATTATTTGGGAAGGGACGGAAACCGGGGTAGGGGGGGAGGGGGAGAGCAGAAGTTGGAAAATTTATGACTTTTGTGTTTTGTTATTTTGATTTATATTTTAATATAAAAAAGGGGAAATTTGTGGATGAGAAATTAGGTCGACCTTAGAAAAAAAAAAGATTTGATATTAATAAGAGAATGGGATAAGTCAAATGTGACTTAGTTAAAAGAATTAAGTTCAAAAACAACAGATTAGGTTAAGGGGATAAAAACTTGCTGAACTAACTTTGGAAATTGGGATGTATGAGGGGGGGTGGGGGGAAGTCAGGGAAAGAGGGATAAGAAAGTAAGGATTTGAAATTATACGTGTTTTGTCTTTGTCTTTTTTATGTATGTGTTGTCTTTATAAAATTTGAAAACCCAATAAAAATTTATATATATATATAAAAAAACAATTCAGAGGATGACTACAAGGCAATCCCACTCTTATAATCCAGCAGGTACTTTTTCAAATTCTAGTGTTCATAATTACTTTACTCCTTTTGGTAAAGAGAGGGAGACTACTGGTGAGATAAGAGTACCACCTAAGGAAGAACTTCTGCCAAACCCAAACTATCCTGGTTAACTAAAGATTGTCAATGCTAAATAGAGAATCTGAGCACTCCTTTAATCTTCTCACAGCCTTAGCAAGGGTCACAGAACTGATATGTTCTAGGGGCAATTGATCAATGATTTTGGATCCAGGATGGTCTTCTGAATCTATTTTTTAAATAATTCCACAAACTATCAAGTTCTTCCAATCCGCAATGGAAGTCAACAGGTGGAAAAATACAAATTGTTAAATGCTCTGCACTCCCCCAAGTGGAGAGAAGTTTTGGATCACCACTACTTGGGATCTAACTTCCTGTGACAAGTTTCTGTAGTCCATTCACAAACACATCTAGGACACAGGTAAAGGAGGCATGCAGGAGACATGCTCTTCACAAGTCACTGCTTCTTGAACCCAGAGAGGCATGGTTCTTCCAGATATTTTTTACTTATTCCTTCTCTTTTTTGCTTCTCTTTGTCTCTCTGTTTCAAAACTGCCATTTCTACACACACAGAGTTTACATCAGCCCTTACCCTCAGTTGTAAAAGGGGGGGAAGACCACTTTCTCAAAGCTCTAATGGCTAGCATTTAGAAAATTTCCAAATATCTCCTAAGTATTAGCTTCCATTGAGAAAACATTAATCAATCATTCTGGGCTATTAGCAACCCCAGGCTTTGACTCAATAGCCCACAGCTATATAAGACAATCTACTGAACTTTACATGCAAAGACAAGAGTTTAACTCAAACCTAAGTATTGGAGAGTTCAGAATCCAAACAGAAAAGAACAAAAATATGTTTATTATAATTGTGAGGCTGGAGCTGGAAAAGAATTACTTACCCAATTGACCAATCTCTTCTCTGGCAATCTCATATACCGGAAGTTTCCCAGTGTCATATCTCTGTGTCGATCGCAATATAGATTTTCCAAAAGGTTGAATATGAACCAGGCAGCACGGCTTCCAGCACCAAAGCCCCAGCTTACTGATTGACAAAGGGGAAAAAAAATCAGTGTATTGGCAAAGTCAGAAGATACGTAATGGAGTTTATTCCCCTAGTAGCTGGACAAACTGGAATTGCCAGAGAGATAAAGTGACCATGTGCTCCACCCTGTCCTTTGGCACATTTCTTGAGAGTGGAGGGAACTTGACGCTAAAAAGAACGTTAGGAGATAAAGACTTGCTTTACATATCGGAATGCAATATCACATTTTTGTGGTACAGATAAAGCATGTTTGCCTTTGTGAACGCTTGAATATGTTAAAGGAATATCTAAATGGAACATTTCCAGATCCACCAACTGACTTCTAAGTAAGTGGGCAAAATGCAACTGTGATCAAGGAAATGGTTACCACTTCTCCACATTGCACAGCCTGGTGCACCCTGGCCCTTGTCCATACAGCTGTTGTGTGAGCTGAGCTAATGTCCTTTTATCAAAAGCTATTTCATGATCCCAGCTAGGTTCTCGACCCTCCTTTCTTTATTTTTAAGCACAGACACATGATCTGTATTGGGGTTTGAACTGTAGCATATTCATTTCTTCATGAATTGAAGAAATGTAGCATTCATTAAAAAGTAAAAGCCTTAAAGAAAGAAGTACTTGTGCATAGAGAATGTATGAAGACAGTAGATAAAGAAAATGGAATGTGAGAAGACTGCTGTCTGGGTGTGCCTTGGGGTGTTTCCAGAAGGGGGCTTTTTGTAGGGCAGGAGCTGCTCCAACATGCAAATTTTCCACAGAGTCCACATGATGTCATTGGCCCCAGAATGCCAGCCCATATTCTGTCACCCTACCCTCATTGTAGCTGAATTTACATTTTTGGGAAACAATTCTGACAGGATGGTTTATTTAATTTTTAACTGTTGCCAATGACCCATTTGTGATCACTGAATGACCTGTTTACAGTACTGAGCCCCTGTCTGGAAGCCCCCATAAACTCACAGTTCAACAAGCCAGCTTCACGATTTCACACAATGAAGTTAGCCAGCCCCATGAATTTCAAAACTGCTGGGCTCAGCTGACACGTGTGGAAGCCAAAGGCAGCCAAGCTTGAGGCATGAGGAGCTTATGTTAGTATTGCATTGCCTGATGCGGTGTTCTCTCTATGAAAGCCAGCCCACATTTAGAGGATGGGGAAGGCAAAATGGATGCACAATGTGCTGGGGGAACCTGGCTATAGGACAATTTACTGTTGTGACTCTGACATGGTCCACAAACCTTGAGTGGCAGAATTGTGAGCTAGCCCCATGCTGAAGAGACCAGTCCACTTGGTGCCAAATTCTACATTTATCCACACAGGCCCACATCTTCTATTTGCCAATTTGGCCATTGTGACAATAAACCTGATGGAAACAAAGACTGGGAATGCAGCCATGATGTAGCTGCTCTGACATTTTCTAGAGTGGTTGAGTGGTTTGTTTTTCAGTTTGTTGCTGCTTCACAAAGTTCTGGGCTACTACACATGCTATAAATGGCAGAGTGCCCATGAGCTGTCTTAGGGAGAAGATGAATAGGCTGCAGCTTCCAAGTTTTTACATCTCTCATCTTTCCAGCCCTGAGCAGCAAGCGACCCCAAAATGAGCTCTTCTCCTCCTTGCTTGACCTGCAGCAACGTATTTGGCACTCCGTTGGTGGGCTTTAAAATCCCAGCCTCCTGATTTGTGGTTGAGTTTGTGGGTGCCAATCTCCCTTGTGAGTTTCAGAGTCCCCTGTGGTGGTAGGAGTTTCTGGGTTCCAGACACTGAACCTCTGGATTCAGCAAATGTTAAAATATAAGCCAGGCCAGTTTCCTGATGAGGAAATTAGGACAACAAAAGGAAGGCGATGAGCCATTAGGAAAGCCAAAGAGAGGGGGGAGGCCTCTGTGCTAGATGGCAAATGGGAGGGCCCCCTCCCTCAACTCAGAGTTATTTAGAAGACAAAAGCAGAGTCTGAGGGAGAGTTTTTGGGTTGGCTGTGATGTGACTTAGAGGAAAAATGGTTGCAGGCTGCTAAAGGCAGAAAGCTGGAGAGAGGGTCAAGCACGATGGTAGATTCTGTTTGAATCCAAGGCTGCAGCTATGGGAGGAACAAGACTCCTCCACTGTAGCCTCAGGTTGTATATATGTGTGAATAAACTATATGTCATAAAGACACCATGGTCGCTGCTGTGCCTCATTCCCAAAAGGAAACATGGACATTGGATAAGTGTCTGGAACTCCCGGAATCTCACACCACTTGGAGACTGGGGTTCCATGCGACAATATGCTTCCATCTCCCTTTCTTCAGAATTCTTTAAAAGAAAAATCCTACCATGCTTATACTTCTAAAATACATCTCACTGTCTTCTTCCCCTGCTATGCTAGCATTTTTTTCAACTTCAGCAGGAGTCAGTTTTTGTCCCAGAGCAAACACTGCTTCATAAAGCAGTGAGCTAATTTTTTAAAATTTTTTAGAATAACATAAAAAGAGCTTTGGGAGTTCAGACCAAAGGCCCATTCTCACAGGGGTCAACCATAAACTTATAGGAAACCCAAGAGCAGGACATGGGCCACAATAGCACTCCTCTGCTCATGTTGTGGAATTCAGATGGCCTCTGTCACTGGAGGCTGTGCATAGCCATCATAGCTAGTAGCTATTGCAGCCATATTAGTAGCTATTGCAGCCATATCCTCAATCAATTAGCTGCTTGCTTGTTTGCTTACAGTGTTTTCAGTGTGGCTTACAGCAATAAATAGTTAAAATGCAGTTGTCATAAAATAATAAAAAGCAACATAAAATTATCTGTTGCAGAAATTAAAACAGTTCACACCACGCGTTTAAAGCACATGCCTTCCTCCAAATAATCATGGGAACTATAATTTGTTAAGTGTTCTGGGAATTGTAGCTCTGCGAGGGGATAAACATCAGTCCCCATGGCTCTCAGGTAGGGAGCCAGGATTGTTAAAGTGGTAGAAATATGCTTTACATGTATGGTGTGGATGTGACCAAATGCACATCACAGGGAATTCCAGTTTCCAGAAATAAACTCTCCGCAGGGCAGAGAGTAGGCAGGTGCATTTTGATTCTGATGCTCCCGTGTGTACATGCATGCACAGAACACAAAATGTCAGCTCATTGCTGACCTCCTATTCCCACACAACCACCTGTCCAAATAGCACATGGTGGCCCTCTGTGTGAAATGTTTCATAAATATTTTGGCAGGATGTTCAGTGTCTAGAGAAGGGAAAGAAAAGTGCTTTGGTGTAGGATGAGATGCCAACATCCGTCCCAAGTGCTTCCAATACCTACAACCCACTCTAGAGACAACAAATTCTGCTTTGTGTCCACTTTAATAATGGAAGATGGCTTTATTTCAGGCACCATTCTTATCTTTCCTACTTTTTCCTCCACACAAAAGGCTCCGTGTTGGGTTGCCTTACTGGGCCTTGATGATTGTATGAAATGATTGCATCCCTAGTGATTGTATGAAGCTTATTGTGAAGGTAACATTTGTAAGTGAAAACATCTGACTATAAAGAACAACTCAGTAAAGTATCTGATTAATGTGACTTCCGCACACAGCCTGAATGCTTACCTGGCCCTTATGGCCCAGCCAATACACATAAATGAACAAGAAAGCTAGAAATTACTTTGCAGGCAATTATAGTTGCTTGTAGAATAAAGTCAACTCAGATAAACTCCAGTCAGAAGCATATTGATTCCAATTTATAACCTGTTAAAATACAATTTCTGCCTGTCCAGGTAACAGAGCTCTGGAAAATGCTATTAGGGCCTAAAAGATGACTGGAATTAATGCTGGGTAAATAAAAATGGCTTAGGGACAGCAAGATTTTCGGTCTGAAGCAAGCAACTTTGTATGGATCCATTGGGGAGAAAGTTTTTAACTGTTAACATTTCCAGGGGCAGAAATAACAATAATCAAGTTTTCTTTAAACTTCAAAATTACATGTTCTTCAGTACAAAGGGGAAAAAATCACTTCAAGAAAATAATAATAAAGAATTAAATAAGATTCCAGAGAGGACAAACTATAGAAAGTATGTAACAGAAAGATGTCACCAGTTCACCTGCTCATAAAAGGACACAGGATGCAATCTACAATGGCAAAACTCTACATGGTTTTAATCTAAGCAGGAGCAGGAGCAAAATGTATCTTTTTAAGAAACTCAACTTTGTGAAAAAATAAATATTTATATTTATGTCTACATAATCCATGTTAGCAGCAACTATATCTGAATGAGGCCTACGCTCATGGGCATGGTCTAGTAGGATTGATACTCACACAGAACAAGGACACATGAACTATCCTCTGAGTTGGGCGCCATATATTCCACATAGTGCTTCATGGAGTAAAGATCCAGCTTCCAGAGTGATGCATGGAGTCATGCCCGCTGGATCATGTCCATGTACACCTCCAAATTGATGAACAGCATGAGTAGCTTTGACAGCATCAATTATCTGCTTGTCAACATGATGGAATGAATCTAGGTCACACCCAGATTTTTGAGGGTATATTTACTGAGACCTTTCATGGGTGCCAAAGGAGATACTGCCTGACACACTGGTGTCTGTGGGTGCCACATTAGTGACTGCCTGCACACATGCGTGATACATAAGGATGCAGAAACAATGTGTTGTCTTTATTGAATAGACGTTCCTTTACCATATAAGAGTGAATTGTGTGAATTGACAACTTCACAATTCCAGTCACATTACAGAACAACCAAATTGTGCACTAGTGGGTGGACATAGTGGTTTAGTTTCCACAAATACAGCAGAAGTTCCATTTTAAGCTGGCTTTATGCCTAAAATAGAATAGAATACTTTTAATCTCAGGGTCATGGATTTGAGAGCCACATTGTGTGAAAGATTCCAGCATTGCAGGGGGTTGGACTAGATGATTCTTGTGGTCTCAACTCAACAGTTCCATAATTCTATAATTAGATCTTTATTATGTTGCTACCCATCAAAATAATTATGATGCTGGTACTGTGGTTGGCTTATC